CTTCTGGATATAAGCAAGGCCAAAAACTAGAACATCGAAACTGACCTAGAAGTAGAAATATTCTATCCACATGCCAACCACGCAGGGGATGGAACATTATTCCTAGCATAGCAAGTTCTACTCAAAGATTAAACAAGAGCAAACTCAAACAACATCAGCAGTAACAGAAACTGCGGTTCATTTGAGGTAGCAGAGAGGAAAATCACGTAGTAACGAGGTGGAGATAGTCAATACGACATGTCTCCACTCAAACCCTGCTTAGCGTCTTCTGAAACACTGACGCGTCCTAATCAACACCCCTAGTCTGTGGTACAATATGAGGATCAAGACAACGCTAGAGGAGATCTGGCATCATTCCAGACAAGCGAACCCAAAAATGCAACCACAAGGCATTGCTTCGCAATTGAAATAAAGACGCAGTTGCACATGCTGAGGAAATTTATATTCGCAAGCGTGATCAAAAACAGATGTGGTTCAAGAGAAAGCATTATTTCCTTGACAAGGATTGTGGTACAATTATGTACTCCGCTAAATGCACCTCCTGCTTCGTTCTCAATCACCAGCATTACTTCACAGCAGAGAAAAGATAATAACAATAAAATCAAAAAAATGTGTTTGTCTACACTAAGCATTATGTGCAATGTAATGGCTTAAAAATTAAAGAACTGGGTCAATTTTCTACAATGTCGCCATTATACTCTTGATTTGCGGAGCAGACCTGTACATCTAGTATGATGTACATCTAGCTAACAATGTAAATTTCTCTACATTCATGTGGTATGAAGCACCATTAAATTGCGAATGACGAACTATCAAAGCAGGTGGGAGAATCTTCGACAATTTGGGACGTCCCCAGGACCAGAACTACGCTGTTCGATGAAAAATTAAGCGGCAGTCTCTCGTGAGAAATGACATGAGTGTCAAGTTCACGAGTAAATCGAATGCCCCAAGGGACCTCCACTCAAGGAGCGAAACCCTGCGGACGTTTTACGTACTCAGACAAGGAACGAGAAACAAACACAACTGCGGCGCACTCTACTGCGACATCCCACTCGGTATGGCTCCCGAGACGCAGAAATGCCCAAAGACAGAAATCCCAACAAAACCTTGGTCCGTTCCGCTACACCATCTTCACTGGTGCAATTTACTGAATGAAAAAACAAAAACAAAAACAAAAAAACAGCTAGCCCCTGCGAAGACACAGACCACCCGACTAACCCTACGCCGCAGGCATATCTCCCGAAGGTGAAGCTCCAGCACGCACACCCGATTCCTCCAAACCATACATAGCAGGCGTACCAAATTCCAAGCCCCAGAAATGAATGTGTAAGTGGGAGATCTACGAGAAGAGAAAGCGTGCCAGGGAGTGAGGGAACAAACTAACTAACCATGGTGGCAGAGTGCAATCGCAACGGGGAAGGGAAGGGGAAGGGTGAGTTGTAGACGACAGAGCGATCGGGCTCGGAAACCCCAGACGAAGCAAAGACAGATAGAGAGAGAGAGCGAGAGAGGGCGTGATCGTTAATGGAGCTCCAGGCAACGCAACGCAACGCAATCGCCGAGACGAGGACGAGGACGAGGAGGAGCTTGGAATCGAGCACTGCCCCGCCTCCCTTCCTTCCTTCCCTCGCCACCGATGTCTCCCTTCCGTTTACTTTCTCGCAACGTTTTCTTTACACTCTCTGTTTCTTTCTCTTCTATCTTCTTCCTTTTGCTCTTAGTTACTTTCTCGCGCTTTCTCTTTACGTTTTCTGTTTCATCATATTTTGACATTTCATTTGTGCTCGTTTACTTTCCCGCCGGTATTCTTTACACTCTCTGTTTCTTTCCCTATTCGTGTTTCTCGTTTACTTTCTCGAGTGTTTTTCTTTTTCTTTACGTATTCTGTTTCTTTCTCTTGTGTTTTTTTTTTTTTTTTCTACTTTTCTTCTCGTTTTGTTGTCGGAAAGGGGACTCGTATTCCATGAGACAAACTTTGGAGATTAATTCGCTCGTTCTCATATGTAAAACGTAGGACATGTATGGAAGTGTTAAGAAATATGTTGATTAGAGAATATTTGAAATGTGATATTTCAAATCGCATTTTTATTATCCTCTGTTCTAGTTTTCGACCTCTTTCTTATATGGGTTATTTAGAGAAATAACTACAGTTTTTGAATATGCATTATTTAGTGATCTAAGCTTGTTATTAGATTATTAAAATATAGAATACTAATAAAAAACTGAAATAAGGGATACAATTTATTAAGTTAATTAACTAAATTTAAAACTCATCAACTTTAAGTCTTAAATAAATGGTTAAACTTAAATATTGAATTTTTTATTATCATACTTTTATTGTCTAATTTACCAATTTCTATCAATAAACATACGGGAAAAACTTTAAAGTTATAACAAGTGTGTTAAAATAGAGATGGTTTCACATAATGACCCTCTAACAAAAACTAGATTTATATGTGGTTATGACATTTTGATACAAGCTGCAAGTGCTGATTTTGACAACCCAAAATTAGATGTCATACACATAAACAAAAAACAACATATTTAGCAAAAACAATTTGTAAGCATATTTTTAATCTGTAAAAAACATTTTTTCCAATCCTTGAAAAACATTTTCTAATAATATAATTTGCAAGTCTTGTAATGAAGATTCTGTATTTTATTTTATTTTATTTATTCTTTTTAAAGTGGTTTCAATAGCAAAATATTAGAAGTTGAAATAAAAATCTTCTATAATTTATATAGAATATGTAAACATGAGACTATTGTCATCTTTGGTCTTGTTGAATTCTTACTTAATTTTTGTATTTTGTCTTTTGCATTTTTTGCTTTCTATATTTTATGAACCTTTTTGTACTTTGAAAAAACCACCTGATTTTTTTTATTGTGTTTTAATGTAACAGGATATTGCTAATAATTGTTGGTCTTCTCTACTAGCAGTTTTTATTTCTCTCTCTCTCTCTCTCTCCCTATATATATATATATATATATATATATTTATACATATGAAATATAAAGTTATTTTACACTTTATATTTTTTACGATTGATTTTTATATTTGAACAAAATTCAAACTTATCAAAGTATTTAATGATTTCACATCAAATAAAAACAAAAAAATTACATTAGCTAATTTTCTCTTCTACATACAAAAACAATGGCACTATATAACATAATCAAATGCAAACTCTACCCTAAGTAGCTTTTGTAAATCAAATAGTAGACCCCTATTCAAACTTTTCAAAATCAAACAATTTCTTTAGAAATAACATAACATTATCCTCCTTGTTGAACTTAATAATAAATCACATGCAAATTCAAATAAATTTGAAAATTTGAAAAGCCCAACTTATATTTCACGATAAAAATTCTTATTATATGTATTATACATATCATATTGCATGTTTAATTTTAAAATGTTTACACGACAAGATGTCATTTTATTTCAAATAATAATATTATAAAATAAACTATTAAAGAATTTTGCATCCCGAAAAAATATCAATGTTTTTTTTTTTTTTTTGTAAAATCCACAATCTGTAACAATAATCATCAGAAATTATGACTTCTTTCACAGAATATCCTTTGTACATTCGTTATTATTTGTGAGGCTTGACAAATGGTATCCTCTGATATGTGTAATGAAATCAAGTTTTAAATAATAACATATGTACTTGTTTAATATATATATATATATATATATATATATATACTAGAAAAAGGATTCATGGTTGAATTCACATAATATTCATTATCATTAATATTGCACCATTTAATAATAGTTTATAAAAGCTTGATACCTTTTAATCTAATTTTTCCAGCTATAACAAAAGAAATTGGTTTGATTGTCCAATGAGAGTGAAAATAAATAAATATTGTGTCCCCAAGTTTAGGCCGCGTATACACCTGTGCCGCAGAAGCTGCGACGAAGGCCTCCCTTCCACGTTGGCAGTCCAGTCACGAAGCTTGGCTTATTGCGGGGACGGAGGATGTCCACGTTGGCAGTCCAGTCACCATCCTCCGATTGCAGGGATGGAAGCTCCACCTTATCAAGGACTAGCTAGCGGAATCGCGTCGCTGAGCGCTGGTGCAGCAGCTCCGCGCCTCGTCGAATCCACCACCCCCAGTCTCTGAACCAGTCGCGGATTTGCGATTGTTGGTTTTCTTCAGAGCAATTCGTCGGTTATTTGCGCTGATTAAAATTCGATCTTTTCTATTGGGATTTGTTGTTTCGTGAGGTTTTAAGCGAGGTTTTGCGTGTTGCGGAAGGAGGCAAACATGTGCTCCACGGCGTGTTCTCCTGTTCTTCACCTCTCTATTTCTCCTTTGTTGAGCTTTCCGTCTCGCACTAGAGCGGCTAGAGCGAAATTGAGCTCTACGGATAGCATTTTTAGTCAGTTTAGGCAAGTGAGTTCACGGGGAAGAGTGCTTAGGGTGGTGAGAGTTCGAGGATTGGCTGACGAAGCGGGTGGCTCTGAGAAGGCGGGGGTGGACTCGACTGGGGACAATGGGAAGTCTAGTGCGGCAGTGGCATCCTCCTCCTCCTCCTCCTCGTCGGTGTCAACCGGGAGTACGAAAGGGTTTGGGCCATCTGCCCGTCCTGGGTCCACAAAACCCTCTTCGAAAGAGAAGAAGAAACCCGGCACTGTCCGGAGAAATGCGCCAGAAAAGCCTCTGATTCAGTCTGCGCCTGCAGACAACCAGATGTCGCAACTCGAGACTGCTTATGTGGCCTCACTCACATTTTTGTTCGCGCTCATCTTTGCGGAGGGTATTGCATTAGCTGCTTCAGGTGCGGTTTGTGCACTGCTTACCTTGTTATCCTAGTCTTGCAAAACCAATCCTGGATTGGTTTATTTGAAGTGTGAATTGAGATTCCCTCCCACATTGATGAGATGGGTCACGGTCATCCCTGACGTAATCTATTTGAAATTGCTCGCGGTGTAGACCCTCAGTTGGACGTTGCCCGTCTGAATAAACAGTTATCACTTCTTCGTTGATGATGTCCGACTTCTTAAATGTTTTTCTGTGCAGTGCGTCAGCTAATTTCATATTCTAGAAACCAATTGGGGTACACGGAAGTACCGACTCAAATAGTTAGCCCGTCTTTGACACGATTCAAATGTTGAACGTGATCAAAACCTCTGGTACTAGAATCTTGAAGTCTTAACAGTGAAGCAAACGTGTGACAGAAGGATTACTTTGCTTCTTCTTCCCGCTGTTATCAAGCTCTAATGTGCGCTTCTCCCGTGGTGCAGGGTTTTTGCCGGAAGAGTGGGATCAGTTTTTCGTGAACACGCTGTATCCATCATTCACACCAACTGTAGGTCTATTTCTTCTGCTTGCTGCAGGGTACGGTGTCTTCAAGTATTTAGGGTATGGCCCATCACAGGAGTGATATGCAGTTTGCGTCCTAGCAGGTTATGTTGCAGATCAATCAGCATGGGCCCGTGTAAATTCCTCTTTGCAAATCCAACACTTGTAAGCTCAACCGTTACCCTGATTCTTCCCTTACCCTTGTCTGTTCCGTCATTCTCTTGTGAAGGTGACTGTGTTTTGTTGGGGTTTCAAAGGTACACAGCAATGTTGCATTCAGAAACTATAGAAACTCGTTGAGGTGAATTCTTGTGCATCACATGGTTTAAGAACAGCGTTGATATTGCATCAACAACTGAGAAACAGAAGAGATAAATGAGCCTGTGGCATTGAATCTGAACAGGTGACAGTATCATTTTAAACTTGGATGGATTGGTAGGGTGAAGATAACCCTCCATGAAATTTTGTGAAGTGTTTAATCCACAATCACAACACTAGTTTTCTAAGTTGATTAACACGTAAGTACGTTTTGTTGAATTGTTCTGATGTTGTTTGAAGTGATTTGTAAGGGTCTTTAGATGATATTCTTCCTTGTCAAAATTTATTACTTGGTGAGCTTTTAAATCAGTTTCTGTTTTTATCTTCTCAACTGTTTTGGTTTCTTTCAAAACGTCTGCTATGTTTCATAGTCCCTGTTTTAGAATTTGTGGTGGGTTGTCTAGATCAAACTTGACCTTGTAATGAATATAATCACAGGCAATTATGTTGGGGAGATATATGTTTTTTTTTTGCTTGAATAAAATTAGTATGTCCTTTAAAAATTCTCATTCAGATGTAATATATATTTTTTTTTGGGGGGTTACATATTCTCTAAAAAGTCGATGCGAATTTGATAGCATAAATCTCATATCTGCTTTCCAGAGTTCTAAAAATAAAAATTTACTAACTGCAACATAGTCAGTCAACACAACGTAATACCCTCAAAATGTATTGTAATTTTTAATGTTTTAATTCTTTTGCAGTGTTGTTTTCCTCTACTGTTATCATAACAAAAATCTCTATGATTACAAACAAATAAAACCATAAATAGCATATTTTTTGGAGTATGTCTGTCAACACATCATTAACAAGAACCAAGGCCAAAACCACTTCCAGTTCATGTATACGAAACAAACGATTAAATTGAAACTACCAAACGCAAGAAGACGAAGCAAATAAAGAAATCTTAATGAGAAAGTTATCAATTTAATGTTTCAGAAAAAACAACACATGCATATCACAACTTTGTTGTGAAAAAAAACATATTTTTTAGAAAGTAGAATCATATCTTCAAACGCAAAATTAGAAAAAAACACACTTAAAAACAAGATGGATCAACAAAATACATTCACATAAATGCATGAGGAAGATTTTGCTTGTGAAGTGACTTCAATGTAAACTTGCCTAAAAATAGCTTCACTCACACTGTCCATGTAACAGCTTTAATTACGCCTTCTCGATATTAGCCCCGTTCACACTCACGGCATAATAGCTGCATTCACACTGCAAGGGTTTATCAGTGGCGAGGGGGTCCTGCTTAAACCCTGTCCTTCGCTACTCCGCGAGAGTTTGTTGAGCAGGACTCAGTTGGAGATTTTGGTGTGTTTTTCCTTTTTTTTTGTTCGAATTGGAGCAATTCAATCTCACAATTTCTTCGTTCCGATGAGACTTTTACGTCATGGAAGAGTCGAGGAATTTGAAGTTGTAGGGAGGGAAATGGGTTCTGTGACGACATGAACATCTGATTCAAAGTTTTACAGCGTCTCTCTTTCTCTCTCTTTTGTGATTTGGGTTTTAGGGTTTTAGGGGAGGTTTGTCATTCTGCGCTTGGAGGTGTGAAGCTCTTCCTTCGTCATGCCGCCGACCGGTGGCAAAGCGCCATGGAAGACTGGGAAAAAGGCTCTCAAAGCGAAGGGGGTTGGAATTGACTTCAAGGTTTTGATTCTTGTGGCAGCTCATAATTTTTTGTTTATTTTTTTTATTTTTGTGTTTATTTTTCCTTGATGGGATTCATGTTTTTTCACGGAGGGGATAGTTTGTTCTTGTTGGTGATATTGAGTTGGCGTGGCGCGTAATTTTCTGTTTTTGCAGAGAGTTAAATCTAAAGTGGGGAGGAAGCTCCCGCCACCTTCGAATGCTACCAAAACAGACTTCAAGTCGAAAGGTTTGGTTTTGTTTACTCGTGGCATTCGCTCGCCTTGAACTTGTTCTTATTTTCTTGCCAGATTGGGGAGCCCTAATTCGTGACTTTGTTGGGATAATTTGCTGATGGTCGCTAAACGTCTGAATTGGTGGCACAGCGATTGTATTACCTGGACAGAGTGTGGCAGCTGATAAGGATGGGGTTGCTGTCAATCAGCGGAATCAGACCCTGAAAGAGCTCCTAACGCAGAGCATGCATTACAGTGAGAAGGTCCGCAAAGGTGCATTACCAGAACCGTGACCTAATTGGTTAAAGCATGTTGCATTTCATAAGACTTTCGGCGCTCACGAGGTTCCTGGCTTCTGTATTGCAGAGGCATTGATCGGGTTGAAGGATCTTTTCACCCGTTTTCCAACCGAGCTGCCCATGCATGCAATGGCGATCGTAGAAAAACTTTCTCCTCGAATTACAGACTATGATAAGGCGGTCCGTCAGACTTTCCTGATGCTCTTGAAGACAACAATTCTACCAGGCCTACTCCAGGTTTTCCTTCTGAACTGTTTGCTCTGCAGGGTTAAGGGTTCTTGTGAATAGAGGGCAGTAGGGAAAACTAAAGCTCACTTGATGAAAATAAAGGACGCAACGGATGTTACCACGACGTAAGACAGTTGCATCACTTGATCGAAGTCACAGCAGTTTTCCTTGTGTTCCTTGAGCCATGTTCAATTTTGCAGCAAACATTACCGTATGTTCTAAAGCAGTGCTTGGTATGTAGGGTATGATGGCACCTCTTGTGCCAGGGTTGATGGCTCATGTCAGCAGCGCAATGACGCATTTGATAGTTGATGTGCGAGCGTCTGCCTGTTCCTTCCTGGATCTTCTTGTGCAGCACTATCCGGATCTCGTGGTGTTGTCATTTTCAGGCCAGGTGGGATGTCTTTGGGATTAAGCTCAATGTTTTCTCTTTCCTCTCATTTTTTTGGAAGTGCCGTATTAATTTCTTTATTTCATACGTTACAGTTGTTTGCGCCTCAATCCTCTTAGACTCATTGGGATACTGGGTGTTGTATTGCAATTTGATTGGTTGTTGGATGCTTTCAATCTACGGCCAGATTATGCAACATTATGTGGATCTGCTTGGGAAAGGAGGAATAAGTGGACAGGCTGTGAACCGACTAGGAGGTGTGCTTGGCAGTCTTGTCAAGTTCTTGGCATCATTGAAAGCAATTTTGTCAACACAATCCTCGGGCGCAGCTTCCAGTGGCACTCAAACTCACTGCTGGGGTCTGAAAGATTCTAATATAAAACAGGTCAGTGTACAGGTCACCTTGTATGTAAACGTGGTTTCGGTGCATGCACTGATTCTGATTACTCCTAGATATAGTTTGTCGCTAATTTCTTTTGGTTGACTCTTTTCCGAAATGCACATTGCAGGATTCAACGATGGAATTGCGAGCTCTACATGGGCATAATAGTAGAAGACCAGACGGATATTTGGGTTTTCAAAGAAACCGTATTGAGAATGTATTCGATTCTAGTCAGGTTGCCGATTGTCACTCAAATGCCGTGGGTAAGTTTAATGTGAGGTTCTTTAGTGAAGTTCAAATCTAATCAAGTCCCTCGGGATCTCCTAGATGAATTGTCCGATTCACTGGAGTAAATGCGTTTACTGTATAAAATTATGGTTATAAGGGAATTGTTTGTTATTTAGCATGTTCAAGTCTGCTTCAGGCTCAAACGCTTCTGATACGGATTGACAGGGGCGGGACAGCAAATTGGTGTGGCTTCGAAGAGGGTGCAAAACACAGGTAAGTATTCCAGTATACAGTGGGCCTTGTTTTGTGGGCGCTCTTTGAATGTACCAACCATTTCTGTTAGTCTGAGAAGTGTCCCCCCCCCCTTTTTTTTTTAAAATGTTTTTTTTGTTTTTCCTCCTTCTAGCGGTTATGTTACAAGGAATACTGATGAATTTGAAGATGGTTGTAATTTTCAGGAGTTCAAGGACAGATGATTGTGATGGCATCGCCTCTTGTTCCAGTATTGATAGATTGCTGGGCTGATTGTGCACCCACAGTTTGTGCTGGACCCATGCCTGATGCTATTAATCTGGGCTGCATGGTTTCCATCACTCAAGCCCTGTCCCTTTTGTTTCAGTGTTTCAGCCTAGAAGGATCTACACATGGTTCTCACAAGTCACATCTTTCATCTCATTCTGTGATGAGTGAAGGTGATTGGGAAATGCGTGTGTGGATGAGACGGCAGTTTTTATCGGGCTTGCAAAAGCATGTGCTAGCATCGTTCCCTATTGCTGCACCTTCCATACGTCTACCGGCCAAGGTTCATGTCATACCTCTCATTTAGCTAGACGCTGTCAGGAATGGGGATTCTTATTTGTTGCTACATCTGGTATATCTTGCCTATCCGAACTTCCAACTCGCTAAAGGGTGGAGAAATATGTCTGTATCGATTGGTGTGAAAATATTTCGTTCTTTTCATCGATTGTAGTCTTCCACTGAGGTGCGAATACATCCAATATTTTCAGGTGGAGGAGGGTTTGGTTGCTTTGAATGTGGGAATTTGTGAGGTCATGCTGCACTTGATTGTTCCTCCGCACATGGAAAGCGAAAACAAGACCGAGCATTACGCTACTTTTGTGACTCTTCAATATTATGAAAGTGCCTTGTATGGAATGGTATGGCCCATGTAATTCAATGATTATTTCTTTGGATTAAGCAATTTGGTAGCATTCATGACTGCAGTCCAGATTCTTTAGTAATTCAAACATCTTTTGTTTAAATGCTTAGCGAAATCTTTTAAGTAACATATTCTGTTCCATTCTAAAACTATCGAAGTTTTGTAAATATTTCAAATAGGATTTTTTTTTTAATTTTAGTTTTTTTAATTTTTTTAATTTTTCGTTTTTGGTTTGTCGGAACATTTCTAAGACCTGCATGTTTTGGGTTTGTAGATGTTACCGTCATCAGAACTGGCCGCAGGAGTGGTTGATAGTAGGCTTGCTGAACCTCATTTAAAATTGCTTATAAGCCACTTTCCTCGCCTTCTTTTGGGCATAGCTCAAGATTGGATTACTAGGTTGTCACAGGTACGATGTGGTGTCGATGATGAGCCCTGCGATTTCCTTTTTTCTTTTTTCTTTTTTCTTCTATTGCAGCAACATGTCGACATCCAGTTTTCTCTTGTTTCGAATGAATTAGCTTTATTAAGGCACATTGCAGGTTACTCACAGGCAAAGCCTTGAATGCAGGCTTTCACAAAAGTATTTCAATCAAGCAAATCTCACTCTGTTATCAAGCTTTCTTGTCTATCATCAATGGCCGAGATTTTGCTGGCGGTAAGAGTAAATTTCTTTCTGCATCTTATTGCATAAATTATTTTATACCTTGTTGATATCTCGATAGTAAAATTTGTGAGTACATCAACTAGAATGATGCCTCATCATCTTGGGTATCTACGGACGCCATTACCAGCTAGAAAGTATGTGCATTCGCAGAAAGGTGGTGAAGTTGACGTACCTATGCAATTTAAAAAGCAGTGGCTGCAATCTCTTCCACGTCTTTTGTGGGAGCTTAAGCATACTCATGTATCTGTCACACAGGTTCGATCTGCACCTGCGCGCTCGTTGACATTTGACACTATTGCTTTTTCCAAATGCTTTATTCACTTCGGTTCAAGCTGGAAACATATTCATGTGGAGTGGATAAGGCTTTTTAGTCTTGTGCATGTATTAGTGTCATGTAACACATGTCAGAGTCCATTAAATAATTACGCTTGTAATTCTTTGATGTGGTGGCTTCTAAACGTGCCTTTGTATATAGTGGTTTTCAAGGTTTCTTTGGCCTTTCCTTTCCAGGCTGTGTTGCGAATGTTACTATATATAGGTCGTTCTGCGCCAGAGGGTTCTTCGCTAGCCGACGAATTTTCGGCACTACAGCCTCATATGATACCCTTCTTCTGCTCATTTATAGCTTCTACTAGAAGTGAAGTGCAAGGTTTGTTTCACTTGCTGTTTCTTTCCATTTCACTGTCTTCTTGAAGACATTATTGAGACATTGTGTTTTGGAAATTCAGTTTTGCATTGTAAATGATGTGAAGTTTGTCGATAGCTGACAGTTTTACTGCCACTATTGTGATTTGGTCTTTTAATCTTTCGAAAGGTCGTTTGCAGGGAAATATTTGTTTGGACCATTTGTCAAACTTCCCAGGGAATGTCAAGAACTTGCGGTCGATGTATTGTGTTACTGGAGTAACTTTTCAAATACATTTCTAAAAGCGGTGGCGCACTGCTGTTTGTGTAAGAGCTCAACACATGTAACCCACAAATGTTGCGTCCCCCTTCTGATGAACACTTAACATTTTGGTTTTGACAGAACCCAGTCTTTTCCATGATATGGAATTGGAATGTCTACGGTTTCTTGTAGGGTCAAAGTAGCGTTCATCCAAACTGTGTTTCCCAGATGCGAGTGTTGTTTTTTTTTAAAAGTATAGCCCCATTAGACGTGTTCATGTTTCTGAAATAGATCTTAAATGGCCTTTTTAATGGCGGTAGAAAGTCAGCTTATATCTGTTGATTTTGGCAGCTGATGAAGTAAGTTTGGAGGTGTCAACGCGTGCAGTTGAAGTATTTCATAATGTTTTTATGCGCGGCTCCTCGGGACTTGTTGAACATCTAAGTTTTCTAATGACACTGCTTGCAGGCCATACTTCAGCTCAAGGTTTTTTTTTTTTTTTTTTTTTTTTTTAAATCTTTGCCTGAATGATGTTTAGATTGCTTGGAAGGCTTGCATGTTACCCCTTTGTTGATATTTTTCAATGTGGAGATGTGTTACGTGACTCAACAGCTTAAATGCCTGTGTTTGCACGAGCAGAAGTCTCCACTGAGAAGGAATCGCTGGCTGGAGCCTCTTCTTCCAAAAACAGGATTAATCTAATTGTTGCGAGCGGAAATCAAGGAACATATGTTAGAAGAAAGATAGCAGTCGCTGGTGTTGTTAGCAACTGTCTCACTCAACTTGGAGATTGCAACCTTGTCTTGAACCTGCTAGGTCCTTCCATTCAGCAGGAGCTTGTAAGTTCGGAACTTATCTGATGCTGAAATCATGTTACTCTTCGTGTTTATAGCCGCATACTTCGCGGTAGTGTCTGTTTGCCTTCACCGCAAGTTGATTTTTCCTACGTCTTTTTCATATTCAAATGTATGACGGATTAGGCTCATTGTTATGCTCTGTTGCAGATAAGATATCCTTCCGTGGGTTCCGTGTATAGCTTCCTTTGTGCTACTGCCGTGCTAAGCACAGATAACAGAAGCGACAAGTATGTTTTGCCAGAAGCATTGGAGGAGGTTCTACCACAATGTATGGCGGAGTTTCTGATCGCCCTATGCAAGGTCAGGAATTGACCAGCCTCCAATGTTCGCCTCAATGTCCAGCTCCAGAGTAGCCGAGGTTTTGTTTTTGACTTGGTATCAGTGACAGAGCTTCACTACTCGAAGCGGACTTCCCATTGAACACTGTTGTCGTAACTTTTTGCAGTTGCAGTTTGACGGCCTGGCTGAAGACGAAGATTATTCTGTGGCTCTCCGTCAGCCTGCTTTTGTGCTTCTCTCCAAGAGTCAAGTTTCTGTTGGGGCTGTTTTAAACAGTGTTAAGTTATTTCTAAGTGAAGGTATCACCTTACCTTGTTCGTTCGTGTCTTTTAATGAACAACTATATGCCAAGGTAAATTGGATTCACGAGAGGTTTTATACCCATTGTACTTCATACGTTTAGGGAGAATTAGTTTGAATAATTGTAGCTGTGACGGGTTTCTTGAACATGATCTAGGTGTTGTAGTGATTTAATTGCTTTTGTATGCAGTTTCTGAAGTGTCAAGTGGAGATATGCTGGAGGACATGTGCGCAATTGCACAAATGCTTTTGCCAATTTGTAAGCAAGAGAAATTGTCCAGAGTGCTCTCCGTTGCAAAGCATCACTTGAGAGACATTGTTATTGTTTTGCAGGTAAAGTGTCAGTACTTTTGGCCAAGTGTGGTATTATTTGTTATTTATTTTCTTTTATTACAAATCCAAGGGAATCAGTGTCTTTTTGGAATAGCAGCATTATTTGTATTATTTACATGTGAATTTCTTTTTGAATTTTTAATCTTTCATAAAATCAGAAGCTCCTTATACCATGTGAATATGGACTTATCTAAGTTTGATGACATTTCTCTAGTGGGCTTGCATGTGTCAACTAAATTATGTTGCTGGGGAAATGCTGCAGGCACATACTCCTGAAGATCAAAGTGAGAATTTGAGGAAGTTGTGCACTCAACTTGACATAATTGTGGCCGCTCTGTAGGAAGCAGCTGGATGCTAGCACGATATTTAGTAGTAGCGGCCTTTCAATATGATTTGTTGGAGCCGATTGATTTTGTCCGAATCACTGAAATTTATTAAAAGTTCAGACATCTGTATTGGATAATTTACACGAGATATGCTCAATTTACAGGATTTGTTGCATATGTGAACCCACATAGGAACGATGAGGTTTTTGGCCACTTGTATCTTCACGATGAGGCTTTTATATTATATGTAGCAAAAAAGACTGTCAGAGATTACGCGGGGGCTCTGATTTAATTAAATTACTGACAGCTCCACGAAAGGAGGATGGACATTGTCATGGAAAAAAATCCAGCTGACCAGCAAACTAAGATATTTCTCAAAGATCAAGTGCGCATGTGGATTATGGTTATATTAATGGCGGGTGGGAGAAAAAGGGCGATGTCCGGAAACCAGGTGCGCTTGACGTGTGATTTGCGACGAAAACTTATCAAAGACAAAATAGTTTCACACATGCATTGGCTGACACGGTTTAGAGACGAGGGCCATGGCTGTTATGCGACCCTCGCTTCAGGTGGGGAAGCTCTCCATTAACTGGGAAGGATGTCATTGGCAGTCATAGTGTCCGAAATTCACTAACACATTAGTTTATCACCTGTGTTCGCCCATCATATTTACTCTTCCACATCGTGTGCCGCCCGCTAATGTTCACTAAAAAAAACCTGAGGATGAAACTTCCATGGGCTAACCGCTAATATAAAAAAATTGAATAAGAAACGTACGTGAGCAAGGTCTCATCAGGGCTAGCAGAGAACGTGACGGATGTGTTCAGTAAAACCATGAACTTCCAAAAATCGGACACATTCCTTGTATCTTAGTTATACAGAACTGAAACTGTACTGGAAGACAATTTCTTAAGGTATAGGCTAAAACTTCATGTTCTGGACGAAAGGTACCCTGAATATATTCTGATTCCAAATGGCCAATAATAAGCATCAACAAATGAACCACATCCATATCAATTTCGACTGTAGCATAAATCCATGAAACATCATCTTTTCACAGCAGAAGATGACCAGAACCGGATTACAGACGAGATAACGGCCAGAGGAAGCCCAGAAACTCTCAACTGCTTGTTAGCTTGTAATGAATTTGTGGAGCATACAGCAACCATGCCGAATCAGTTACGAATAACATAGCATGCTAAGGTATAAAGTAACTGCCCGACAACGAGCGTTTTCACCTGTAGGCAAACACGAGGAATCGTTGAAGGCCCCAACCCTACTACATTTGACTATTAAACATTTAAGGCAGATTGCTTCATGAGTTGAATTTCATCGCTGTTACTACGATCATTGCAAAGATTTCAAAGAAGTCGCAACTGCGTCCATAAAAGCACATGGAAGGATTGTCATGAACCTAGTCTGCACACTAATTCTTGAGGTAAATTTCAACCTCAAGCTGTGGACCTGCTGCACAAACCTGAATAGAGTTCCTCAAAATATAACATAGCCTTCTCTAATAGATCCAACTAAATTTAGTATGGCTTGTCCAGAGTGCCCAAATTCCATGAGACGGATAGAAGAATGTTGTCAGCAAAACAACCTTGATCTGAAGATACTTAGGGAGCGAGGTTAGCTAATATCAACATGCTACAAAAAATCCGATCTTTTGAATATCTTCAATGAAGAAACGAAGCCTGATAAGCTGGAGGAGGGGGAGGCAGCCCACTACCAAACTGATAACTACTGTATGTGTTAGCAGAATTGGTATAACCTGAAGTTCCGTATACAGGTGAACCCAAGCCATCAGTAGAATAAAGATACGAGCTAGAAAGGGAAACTGGGCTGCGATTCCCACCTGCATATGTAGTAGAGTAACCACCTTGGCCACGACGATCATATGTATTCTGAGGTTGCATGCTGTAAGCTGTTCCGCCTGCACTCCCGTATTGACCTCTATCTGAGGAACCACGGTAATAGCTTCTACTGTCATTGTTATTAACATTCGCAGTCGTCGCATAACCACCTCCAGTACCATTGCTAGCACGGGGTCGCTTGGTTTGAGCCTTCACAGCCACGGCCGCCCTCTTTCTATCTGATTTAGCCTTCTCTAGATGAAGTACGCGCTTTTGAAGGGGCATGGACGGATACTGACTTTCTAACTGGTATTCTTCAATGCACTTGAGCACTGCTTTCAGTGCAGCCAGTTCTTTCATCGTTGCATCGTTCTGCAAAATGGAAATGACACCACTGCTGTTTTAGTCCTCTTTACACTGGTCCAACGATACAATAACAGTAGGTTATTAGCTTTGATAGCTGTTATGTCCGGCTCAGCAACAAGTAGAGCAGTCACTCATACCCAGTCGAATATAAGTCCTGACATTAAGTCCTGCTAACAGTGTCCGAGAAAGAGTCAATATTCACCCCAGGGATCCAGAGTGAAGATGGAGCCATGCACAATCAGAATACCTTCTCCTTAGCCAGTCATTATAGGTACTCTTCGAGGCTTCAGCTCATACCCAGAAGAATATCCTCTAGGAGAAGAAAGTAATACGACTTTTACCATCCCCTAACGTGGTGTATTCCATTACAATAAATTGAAGGTCGCTCTTCCCGACAATACGCACGTTTCTCAAATAACTCGAAGGTCTACTTATAGGCATACTCAATATTGATCAAAATTGCTTCTTCAAAGGAAAATTTTCGGACCCCCAAAAGTGCTCGACTCTCATCGTTGGATTGTTTCACGATCAATGAGCATAACGCCGAAACATCAAGATCCGTCCAAAGTAGCCGTACATGCATTCAAGGTCTCACGACACAACTTATGGTATTACAATAAACTTCAGAACTCTACAGGAGGTCTCTCTGCAAGCTAGCAATGCTTCGTGCTGAAATTAGAAGAATTTATGGTATCTTCGACTCAAACCCCAGGATTATAAACTTTAATTCTACAGTAAGTCCACAGTCCACATGAACTAAATGGACTGCCCAGTTTTCAGATCAACGTGAAGTGACCGCATGGTTCAAAAAATTAAAATCATACCCCAGCGAATACGGCTAATTCTTAGAAGTATTCGAAATAACAATCATGGTGATGATGACTCTCTACTGACTCCGAAGATGTCGACATGCGACGCTTGTAAAAAATCGAGAGGAGAGACCTTCAATAAAGCATAATTTAACAACGAATACAGGATTCCTGTAGCACAACAGAATCGAATAGTCTGCTCCGATCGTCCCGCATCCATAAGGACTGCAAATCAGATGGAAGACCCTAAACACGCAACCCGAAATTCACTTAATCAAAAAAAGTACAACCGTGAAGCAGTCTTAACAGTACCTGAGCAGCAGCTGAACTGGATCCAGATTTTAAAATTGACTGAGCAGTTCTCCGAGCCTCCTTAAGATAAGCTTTCAGCAAGGGAATGGGGAGAACTCGATCCATTATTCCGAAAGAGTGAGCGAATGAGAGAGCTTCAATCTGCTTGCCTTCTTTGGCTAGCCTGTCCACGACGTCTGTGATAGAAACAGACAATGATAAAGTGCTGCAGGAAATGAGTATGCATCGATCGAACCTATTTATTAAACCATTCATGCATGAGTTTCCTTAGCGAGGGATTTCACTGAGGTGTGAAGAGTTATTACTAAGTATCCAGCAGTAACTAAGTGCCCTCTTGTACTCACAACGGTCACCAACTGCACACGCGAAACACAAATCGAAACCAAAGGAGTGACAATCCTAGAAACACAGTCGAATTGCCTGATTTAATCAATGACTATCCCTGTTAGCATATGCTCGACTTATCTGACACCAAGGACTTGGTCATATAAGTTATATGATAATTTACGCATGTGATAAATGCATAAAGAAACAAAGTGCATCAACGGAATCCCAAAAAATGGTCAGAACAATCACCCACTCGAAAGAGAGCCTCCATTTGAAATCAAATCTCTGGTATCCTTTTTACGAAGACATGGCAGGAACTTAAGCAGAGGCAGAAAGGGAAGGAGTACAGATTCAAATGCTTAATCCATGAACGAGATTCACAAACTGGCAGCAACAAACGCATCACGATATCATCGAACTCTAGCTGGGTTAGTACATGAATTCTGAACGATGTTAAAACAATCAACACACCACCAGCACAGTCTCAAGGAAAAACTGATTACGCTATGCATGGAATAAACGAACAGCAAGAAAAAATGGTGAACAGAAGGAACCACCGCCTCGAAGCGTCCGGCCGCCAGGAACAAGAGAAAGCGGTTTCGCCAGTATACGATTCTAAGGTTTTATGGAGGGAAGTAGGAGGAGGAGCTGGGTAGGCCAGAAAAAATTGCTTGTACCCTGGGACGAGGATGATATGGAACTAGCACGCTAAAGACACCGGACGCTAAAACATGAAGAGGCACAAGAGGCCCCTAGGCGGCTGCGCAAAGGAGAGACACCAACCTGGTATCTTGGCAGTTAGTCCAAGGGACCGGCAGAGCGCAGGGGTTTGCCTGCGCCTGGCAACAGCGGTGACAAGTTTGCACAGCTCGTCATCGTTATACTCCGTAGCAATTCCAAAGGTAGCCACGAGCTGAAGAAAAGCCTGGGCATCAAGAGAATTGCCAGCGGTATCGCCTTGCAAATTCATTCTGGACTTCCACTGATCTGCCACTTGCTTGGCCGATTCCTTAACATTACTGGGAACCACCGGGTGATCTGCTCCCAACACCGGGTCAGCTAAAACCACAGCCAGACACTCCAGAAGCAGAATACAGGCCCGGCGGTTAGCCGAGGCCCCTGACTCCTTATCCTTCTCGGAGTTCCCTTGCTGTTGCAGGGAAGGATTGGTAACTGCCACACTGGTGGGCTCGGGGAGGTGATACCCCTCCAAAGTCCCCAGTACCATACGTGCAGGATCGATAGCACACTGCAGAGCAGAGGGCAGCTCGTTACGGAGGGCTCCCACATCCTTTTTATGGTTGACAATGTACTTCCTCAGCCCATCGCCATCCATAATCTCGCATAGCACCTTCAGCTCTGGACGCACTCGCACTTCAGCTCCTAGTGCTGTAGGAGCGGGAGTGGGAGTGAGACCATTGCTAGTAGGAGAAGTGGTGGTGGGAGAAGGGGAGACTGTATTTGAGGTTAGGAGAGCCGCAGTGGTGGTGCTATCGGACTTTCTAGCAGGCACTAATCCATTTGCAGCCCCATCACGCTCAACAGCGGTGGCATTTTTGTTTCCAGCAAGCTTAGCAGAAGATGCAACGTCTACTTCCATAGCTTGAGAATTCAGAGCAGAGCCATTGGTAATAGCTGCGTGCGCGGGGCGGTCAGAATCTGGTTTACTGGATGTTGTCTCAGGAGAGACACCGTTAGTCAGTGGACCTTTGAAGGCACTTTCGACTTCAATGTGAGATCGCTCTTCGAGCCACTTGCGCTTCTCTTCGAACAGAGAGGCAATAGCAGAGTCTTTCTGTTCCTGTACTCGTGAGAGCATGGCCTGCTCCCGCGACGACACAGCTTCTTCCCTGTTATCAAGGGCTTTCTGCATCTCCTGATACTTAATCTCAAAGGCCTTTTCCTTTGCTACTAGATCCTCGAGTCTCTTCTGCATAACTGCCTCAAGCTCCGTAAAATAATCCTCGAACTCTTTCCATTCTAGAGTACAATTCACTATCGCCGCTCTCTGAATCTCCAAGTCTGCCATTACTTTCTGCAGCCGTTCCTTTCTTGTCGGAATTGACTCTAACTTCTCCATTACTGGGTCTACTACTGCGACAACAGCGACTATCTCCTTCTCCTGCTCCTCCTCCTTATTCACTTCTTTCGCATCTCCCCCCTTCACTACACTAACTTCATTCTCCGTCGCCATGTCTCTCACACACACACCCTAAAACTCTCCTCCAACCTCACCCCCTTCCCGAGCACACACACGCGCACACACACTAAACAACCACTCAAACACATAGACAAAACAAAACCAGGGACAATACCACTGTGCCCAACCAAACTAACTCCAATCAAAAGCAACGAAACCCTAACGACAGCCCCGCACAAAACATCCACAAAGCAAGAAAGCAGGCTACTAACTTGACCACAAGCCAAGAATTTGAACTGCAAACTACAATCAGACCACAAACCAGATTTCTACAGCAAGCCTGGCAATAAGCTAGCGCAGAAATCCGTGGTCAGAGGCTTGTCACAACAACAAATAAATCAATCAGTGCGTAGCTCCGGCCTAAGGTGCCTCCTTCCTCCCGCTCGCTTGTTGTTTCCCCCTTCTCCCAAGTGTCCCGCAGAGAAGCAGTGTCAGAGCAAGGGCTTGGCTGTGGCATTCGGTTTTGGCGTGTTCTCATCAAGACTCACGGACTCCATCAGCAGAACATCATCACCCCTGAGTCACGATGCGATTACTCCAACCCCTTCATCGCTTCTTCTTCTTCTCCTTCTGCCCACATCCTGGTCGGTAGAGCCCGGGAACAGAAACTGTAACAGCCTCCTTCTCACTCCATCGTCCGATTCCCGCTGTGAATGGTGTCGATCTAGCTCGCTCCCGAAGACCCTGCCCAACTGCCTGCCCTTCTCATCCCCTCGGGTCCCAACTCATCTGCTCTCGCCGTACACACGTGTACACATTTGCATTTCTTTATTGCATCTTGTCATTAAGTGATCTGCTGTCGTCGGACATGGAAAATTCTTCCCAGCTTTTCTGTGCGTTGCCGTGAATCGACAATTTGCGATTTTACCCCGTCGTTAACTTTAAAACCTGAAGACTGCGATGAGTGAATATAAAAATTGTGCTCGAGTTGTGCCGCCGTCCGACGTGTGACGTTGAATTTGTGTTCAAATGCGTGAAGGGAAACCTCGAAGGATGTGTGGAGTTCGGTGGAATGCAGCGATGGATTGCGGACAGCAATGCAGAGTGGAGAAAGGGATTGGAACTGGCAGTGATGGCGTCAGACACAGATGCATCTAGGGTTTGTGATGAGGACTGAAATCATGGACTGCAAATTTTGCTGCGCTTCTCACGCATCCCTACCATCAATGGAGTCACAGTCACGGAGATGATGAGAATCAAGGGGGTTATGGGGGGTGGAGAAAGCAATTTTTTTGTAGAGTTAATGTGTGTTTGTTTATTCGAGGTGTTTCTGCAATGAGGTTTTAAAGCTTTCGTTCATGGAGAAGACGATGGACCAAGTCTCATTCGGAACGTGTTTTTTTGTTTCGTTCGTGTAGAGTTGTGTTCAGGGTTTAGAGTTTCAACTTCCAGTATCGTATTTGCGTTTCATGGAATGCATGGACTGGGAAAAATAGAGTTGTTGGATTCGTTGTTGCTTGTCATTGTAGTGAAACCCATGAGACAATTGATTATGCGCATACATTCTTTTGTAAATATACTCTAAATCTACTTGCTTATGAAGAAATTGCTCCTCAAAATACAGACGAAGGTTATTGGCCACTTTTGAACACTTGCCCTTTTGAACACTTTTGAACAGACTTGCCCTTCCAGGATCAAACCCTAAACCTCTAAACCGCTACAGGATAACTATAGTAATGTGTAGTGGCGGTGTTCAACTTTTTGAGCAGGTATTTACTTTTCTTGTTTAATATTCTTTGAATATTTAATAATGTAATTTAAAATAAAATAAATCAATATTGTTAACATTTTTTAGCATTGTTTTAGGTTAGTTAAATTTTGGACATAAAGAAGCAAATGGTTTTGTTAAAAAAAGTTATGTGTCTTTAAATTGATAAAATAATAATAATGGTTATAGAGGCTATTGATTAAGTCTCTAGATTTAGACAAGAGATTTAAATTTGTGGAAGAATATTATAATTCTAACAAAATTTGAGTCTTACATCTAAGGTTTCAAACATGTCAAATTTGACTTTAGATTTAGAAAATTAATTAACAAGTTTATTTATTTATTTTTTTATAAACACTTTATAATCTTTTCTATAGTTTTGAGCTTTATTATAAAGTCTATGTCATGTGGATTTTCCTTGCTTTATATTTAGTCACATTTTTAATTAAATTTAATTGATTGTTTTCTCCCAAATGGTTTATATATATGCTCCTACAATTAATAGCCTAAAGACTTTAATGTCTTATAGATTCTATATTTTTTTGTCAAAAATGATTTGCTAAAATCTTGGTGCTAGCCATGATCTTTAAAAACAAACTATTTTATGCCAAGTGTATAAGATAAAATAGTTTTTATTTATATCTTTTTTTAGTTGCCATACACTTCAAAAATCTATGTAGTATAGTATTTTTTAAGAGAAGTACAAATAACTAACAATGCCACTACTATCTAATTCAATCTTCGTTTTACATGTGTTGACAATAATTATTTTTTGTTATATAAGCAATATAAATGTTGATTTTTTCTTAGCTTGCCTTTCATTCCATAATATTTTTTTAAAATTAGAATTGTAGATAAAAATAGTATTTTTATTTTAAATTTTTGGATTATAATAGATAGAGTTTGTTTGCAAAATAAAGCTTTATTTCTATTGGCAATATATTCTCTAAGATTAAAAAGCGATATATCACGTGATATAGCATCAAGTGTCAAATCTTGTTGGATGTATGTAATTTAGTTTAGTTTAACAGTTTTTCATCCATTTAGTTTTTTTTGTTAGTTAACTTTTTTAGTATCAACTAGGATTTGACTTAGGTGAAGAATGTCAAGGACAAGAACTTGATAAAGATAAATAAACAAGTGAGACTTCTCTCAAAGAAAGATGACAAAATAGAAATAATTCAATATGTATATTAAGAAAGAAACTGGAATGGCTATTGCCAAAAGGCAAGAAAACTAGAGACCCTTGAAACTAAACTAGAAGCAAGAAAGGAGTTGACAAGAGTGAGAAGGGCTTCACTCTTGTCTCTATATATACTATCTAACTAGAGGCTACGTGGCGATGTTCTATAGGACCTCGAATATGTGTTGACTTTGTACGACACATGCATTGACTTACAAGGCAAGTTTTTCTACGTGTGGGCCACATAGTTGGCTTGGGCTTCAAGTTAACAACATGTGTGGCACATGGCCAACTTGTTGACCACGTTTCTAATCCAAAAAGTCAATTAAAGACACCTATAAAGTCAAAGCAGTATCTATGAAACTTTTAGGAAGCTTCTATAATAAATATTATAAAATTAACTTACTTTTACATACTTTTACTTACTTCTACCTATTTATACATATAATTACTGGCTTACATGCATATGACCATGATAGAGAAATTCTTTTGATTTGACATTCTTGTCAAATTAAGTCCGATGAGTGGTTTTGAAAGAAAAATGTTTATTTTGTAAGAGAATGCTTGACTATGGTGATTAAGCCATTAATTAAAGCTTTAGGATTCTTCTCTATTCATACTTGTACTCTAAGATTCTTTCTTCTTGGTGTAAGAGGTAACTTGATTTCATTGAGTGTAGATTAATCATGTTTTATTTAATAAGAATATCTTCTCTACTTCAACTTCTAGTGTAATAGATTAAAATGGAATAGATTCAATAAATATATAAATTTAAATAAAATAAAATCAAATCAAATAAAAAATCCTTTTTCAATTTTTTAGAGTATTATTTTCCTAGGTTTTGCTAGATACTGACTATAATATTATATTCACAGTTTGAATAAGGTATAATTTTGCTATGATATTAGATGTGAGATATTATATATAAGAAGTTGTATATTAATGCGCTAAAGTATTGTAAGGCCAAGTACATGGGCATTGGATTTTGTTGCAATGTAAGAAGTAATTAAAGCTAAAAGCCACAGAACATTAAGGTTTGATCAATTACAATATTAGATGTAATAGAATTGCAGTGTAGAAGTCTACCTATGTTGGAGGTTAAATTTATTTATTTTTTATTTATTTTTTGCGTTGAAGACTAGCACATCAACTTTTGATCGTGTTGTAGTGCAAAATTATGGTGCAGCTCAAGGTTTTATAGCAAAATTATTCATATTGTTATGGTGTGATGTGGTAACATAACTATATGGTGAAAAATAAAAATATAGATATTATTATAGAAAAGCCTAGTAAAAAGATACAATAGAAAAATAAAGATAAATAATATAAAGGCAATAAAAACTTTAGTCTTAATACTGCTTTTTTGTAGAAGAGATTTCTATTTACTTTATAAGAGCATAAATGATGAAAAGTAAAGTAAATATAATAAGTGATTTACATAAGAATGTTTAAAAAAAGATTAAAAATAGATTTTAGCAAGAATTACCTCAAAATATGAAGAATTGATACTTGAAGAGGACCAGTTGTGAATTAAGGTCAAAATCAGATCCCAAAGCACAAAACCATGCACCTATAGTGACTTTGAGGTTCTTTGATTGATTAAAGAATGGAATTTAAGAGAAAAAAAGAGAGAGGTTTTTTGAGCATTATTTTCAAGTGATTTGAATATAAAAAAAATTTATAAAGGCTTTGCAAAGTTAGGGTTATTTTTGATTGATATTAAATTTTGAGAAATTCAAAGAGTTAGTACTTTGGACAATCGTATGAAATTTGTAAATGATCTATAGATTATTTTTTACATTATTATATGGTTATTATTTTTCATAATTTAAGTCACAAATTTGAGCTTGATTTAATAGTTTGTTCAAATTTTATTGAAGCTCAAACATATTAAGGTCTTGGAAACTAGAGTTTAGAGAATAAGTGAAGATTTCTAAGATATTTGTCAATTTACTTATTGGATTGTAATAATATTTTGTGAACAAGTATTAAACTTAACTTTTAACAACTGAGAAAATTTTGAAATTTATTGAATAGTGAAATTAAGAGATGTTGGCTCTAAAATATCAGCATCAAGATTGGAGAAGGAAACCAACTAATACCTAAGTGAATTTTAGAGATTATCTTCTATTTAATTTTTTCAATCTTCTTCAAAGTTTTTGTACTTATTTATAAGTTATTTGTTAAAAATTATGCAAATTTTGAATTGAAATCAATGGTTCAATCATTAGTTATTGAAATTTAAATCTGCTATAGGATTTGTTAAGAGTTTGGTAAAGATTTAGGATTTGAGTAGGATTAATTTAAGTTTTGATTAAGATTTTATTAAGATCCATTGAAATTTGATTAAGATTTGATCTAAGATTTGATTAAAATTTATTAAGGTTTTATTAAAGTTTGATCTAAGATTTAGAATTTAATTAATATTTAATTAAAATTTAATTAGGATTTGATTAAGTTTTATCTAAGATTTACTTAATATTTATTTAGTATTTTTTATTTTTATTATTTCTTAAGGATTCTTTATTATTTCTTTAAAAGTTTTTATTTATAATATTTCTTTAATATTATTTTTATTTCTTTAGGATTTTATTATTTTATTATTTTTTATTATTATTTTATTATTTTTATATTAATTTATCACTTCTTTATATATATATATATATATATATATATATTTTAAATTCTTTTAATTTTTTTGGATTGAATAAAATTTAATTAAAGTTGTTAAAAAAAAATTTAAAAATTATTTAAGACTTTATTAAAATTGATAGGATATAATTGTTGCATTTTTACTTATCTTCTATAGCTAGG